ACCTGCTGTTTTTCATCTCTGGTCTTAAAATATAGAATTTTCCCTTTAAATCTACTCACTGTGTTTCTGAATCACAGCCAGAGTCTTTTAAAAACAGCACACTCAGCCACCTGGTCTTTGGTGTCCTCCACTGCTGCTATAACATGGCAGCGGTAATAGAAAACCATAAAAGGCCTGTACGTGATGACAGAGTAATAACAGTAGATTTAAACTGTGGCAGACCAGGCGGCCTTTTCCTGCTTTAATGACTGATACAAATGCATGTCTGGGAGCCAATAGATCGAGGTCAATAATCATTGTTTATTACCTTCATTATGTGAAAACGGCAAATGTTAATAAAACTGATCATTTTGCTTTTGAGTGCAGTTGAGAGAATAGCCCTGATAGAACTGTAAAGTCCCCCTGCTTTGGTTTAGAACAAATGAACCCTGATGAATTTCCAGGATCACATTCAACAAATTCAGATATCGATCGTATGCTGTGTATAATTTCATACCGCGCTATATGATGGGGAACATGGGGAGAGGGAGGTGCAGAAGGTGAGGGAGACTGGCTACACCGAGGCAAATAAAATGACAGTGTGGGATTCATTTCAATAGGAGCAATATCTGCAGAGTCATAGTGATAGGCACGTGCACGTGCACATGCACAAAGCCCCCAAACACACACACACACACACACACACATGCAGACTAATTCAAAGCCATTTCCAGAGCTGAGCAGTTGCCTGCAGTGTTGAGGAGTGGCGTGACTGGGATGGGACCAGCCTCTTACAAACAGCTCAGAATGCTAATAGGCTCACAAATGGGTCAGGGAGAGCTAAATGAGAGCTAACCAGGCCCGGCTAATTATGAAGTAACCAAGCATCCACCAATCAGGTTCGGAGGCCAGAGAGGCCGGTGAACTGACTGGTTGTAGACAGGTTGGCTGCTAATTAGCTTGTATGAGTACAACAGTTTAATGCAAGTAGGTCAACGAAGGGGAATAGCTAATGGATGGATGGCATCTCAGGCCCTTTCAGTGCTGAAGAGGGAGACGTCTTTGTTGCTTTCACTGAAACAAATTCCATTTTCATCAGCTGATCAACACTACTTCTGCACAGCACATGAATCACACTTTGATTTCTGGTAATTAGGCTTTTTATTAGAAATTATTCTGTTTCTTGTAATAGCAAAGTAGCTAGTCGAGTCTGTTTGAGTATGAATTAACCCTCCAAAATATCAATTATTTGTTTTTAGTTATTTTCATAATAGTTGAAGTGTCTGTTTTTCATGTTGACTGGCACCCGTCCCTAAAAAACTATTTGTGTCACTGTCATTGTCAAGTGTGGTGGCAACATTTAACCTGGGTCTCCAACTGTCAGAGCGGATAGGCTCCAGCATTGTGACTGAATTTATTCATCAAGTTCGTTTGAGTAATTAAAGATGGCACATTAATAATCCCTGTGGGGCCCCTTATTAATTCCCTTTTAAAATTCCCTATTAATTATTTGGATGAACTGAAAAATTATTTGTCTGAAAGGCAACGAGACAGAAAATGTAACAATAAAAAATGTGATCTTTGTAGGTAATTTAATCTCTCCAGATAGTCCAAAGCAGTAATCCCCCTATTTTTTTTTTCTCCTTTCAGGTTAATATGTGCACATCTCCTCAAATAATAGTTTTAGTCCTCACTGCCGTGTCTTGTGCTCATGCTGCCATCTGCTGGTAGGCACTGACCTATATTATAAAGAATAGGCTGCACACAGGACTGTATTGTAGTTCATAACATTTGCACCACTGCTTGATCAAGCAGATAATGAGCAATAAGATTTGAGGCTGTCTGTGCGAGTGTGTCTACGTGTGTGTGTGTCAAAACTTGTGAGAGAAGGGGATTTCAGTATAAATATTTATGCCTGGCAAACAGATCAATGGCCATTAAAAAGGTCAAGGGCAGATGATGATGGATGCCGGCTGTATGTATTGATATATTTTGACTGCAATAATGAATTACAAATGCACACACACACACATAGACAGCAGACCAAATGATGGGGATTAATTCATTGATCATGCTTAATCTGTCATAATTAATTCCATAGGAACAACTGTGATGAGAGCAAGCCTCCATTACACAGATAAATTATTCAACATGAGGAGGAGGTGGACCCAAGATAAATGAGCGTGGCAGACTGGTGCCAGCAGTCACAGGCTGAGGCTAATTACAGTCTTTTCTTGGAAACTAGCACAGGTTAACTTACAGTAATGGTTGTATGGAAATACCATATAACTGTAATTGGAGGCTCAGGTTAACATAACAGTTCATGGAAGCACTCAGGCTTCATTACAGCTGACTTTGAATAAAGTTATGAAAAGACGGTGAAAGCATATCATAAATGTCACATCTGTGTTGACCTATATACCTTTATATAGCCACTTCCTTTATAGCTGAGCGGCAGAGCTGGTCCCAGTTGGAATCAATTCTCTAACCATGCGTTAAGTCCCGATAGGTTGATCTGTTTAAGCTGTGTGTATGTTTCTTTGTGTCTCTTGCGATCATTAAATCTTTACACTTACAGAATTAAGCCCTGCAAACTGCAATATGCTAGATAATGATCATTAACATCATCAACTTATAAGAGGCTCGCTTTGGCAAAGGGATTTAATGGATCATGAGCGTAACAATACACCTGGGGCCAGATGTTTAAAAGTTTGTGGATTCAAGAGCAAAAGTCTCTGTGTGCACAGGGTAAAAATATGCATGAGCAGTCTCTGTGCCAGAATTATATATCCCTGCATATGCATTGTTCTGTATTACGCAACTCAGTCACTGGGAGATTGTACGCACTGTACTTTGTTCTGTACTTGTTCTGGTGATTGTAACATCCCGTAAGGCAGCCTGATCAGCCTTTGGTGTTGCTGTACAAAGCCTGTACAAATTAGTGTATATGTAATGAGTCATAATAGACAATTGATGGCAATACATCGACAAAGCTTTGGCATTACTCGCTGTAGTCCATCACATTCAGATCAGCACTCACTTTGTAACACATGCATGAATATTCAAGTCCACAATCTTGTGGCATTTTTTTTAATATATATCAATTTCTCTGTGGAACGTGGTAAGGATAGACCGATACATCGGCCGGCCGATATTTGAGTTTTTTACTTGTATCGGCATCGGCCGATACGCATGTGGGTTCGCGGATTTATTTTTCCCTGGCATGATTTACAGACAGGCATCCACGGGCAGCTCTGTGTTGCCGGAAGACCCTGCAGCGCACATGCAGCGAATCCTACTGTACAGTAGTTGTTGTTTTATTTATGCTTCAGCTTAAATATTTGTTTATTATATAAAGACATTACTGGAAGATTTAAGAGCACTGAACTTTTTTTTTATTTGAATGTATAATAATAATATTCTACCTGTTCTACCTCAACTTTCCATCTTGTTTTAGTATTTTTTACTGTTCAATAAATGTTTCTTATTTTAAACTTGAGACCTGTAATATTTGTTATCATTGTGTCATTTTTTTGATGTAAACTGAGGGAGCAAAAGCAGTATCGGCCCCAAATATCGGCTCAAGAAAATTGGCAGTCCATAATCGGTCATCGGCTAAGGGTGATGGAAAAAAATCGGCATTGGCCCTAAAAAATCCATATCGGTCTATCCCTAGAACGTGGCTTACACTACCTGTGTGCATGCTTTATGTGACCCCTGTTCTATGAGTTGAATCAAAGACAAACTGCACCCGTTAATAGTATCCATCCAGTTGTACTTTATTGACTTTCCAGCATCATTTACAGCTGTATGCAGGCACAGGGGAAGACATTAGCTTTTGATATTTGTGACCGTTGGCATTTTGAAATCAAAAACCTCTCTAAAGAAGTTCCCTCTCCTGCTTTTCAAATGTGGTCTCACCATGATATAAGGCATGTCACAAATCAGACATAATCGCTTTACACTCCTAAATATTAGGAAATAGTTGTGAAACTCGTCCAAGGCGTTGCAACATTTAGACTAGCCTCTTTGTTTTGTAAAATGACTTATTTTGACAGGTGCTTGTATTTGATTTAAGCACCTGGCCAGCTTTGGTGTTCCCAACTTTGTGATTCAGCCTCGTCTACACACCTATGCTTTTCAAAAGGTAGATCTGCATAAAAGATAAAAACTCATTAATAACAAAAACACATCAGTTGGGAGCTGCTGATGCTGCACATTTACAGCACAGTAAAGCACTGGTATAAAATGTTGACAGCTAAACTCCCTGCCCGATTGAATATGGACATAAAAGTCGCCGAAATATGATTATCAATAGATTTTTTTTTACTGAAACAAGATTTTCTGAACCAAATAATGCCAGCCATTTCAGTTAGAGAAAGCCTCTGAGGGTGAATTTCAACCCATATTGTGATGTAATAAATTGGACCTTAATAACCTTCTTCATGAAATCACAACCAATCCAGTCCTGCTTGACTGAAGAGCTGTCAACTTTTAAACCCAGATCAACAGACTGTGTGTTAGAAGAAGGTTTCTCTGCACAGTGGACAGGTGGACTTGTTGCTGGAGGTGAACCATTTGTACTGTAAAAAAATAAGAAAAAAAAATATTAGCGTTAAAGGCATTAACAAAACAATGTCAAAAAGCAAAGTAGGTTCATTTTATGAAAACTTTGTGTCATATTTGCTGAGACTGTCATATTCTAAAAGACCTACATGAGACAGAGTCTGTAAAAACAATCATGCCTATTTCTTGCCTCAGTGTTTCCAGAAACATATTTTCGTGAACTAGTTTAGCTGTAAAATGAGAAAGTTTGTCACCTGGTTGCCACGTTGGATGCAATCAACTGACGTACCAAGCACTGCCAACTAGCCGGACCAACTGTCTCATTTTACAGCTCAACAGTACACTAAAATATGTTTTTAAAAACATTTGAGGCAAGCAATGGGCAATGCAGTCACAGAATCTTGTCTTTGAGACTCCTCAGCTCTGATAGGTTTGTTTTGTTTTTTTTCCCCCAGGTGCAGTAAGGCAGTAAAGCACTACAAGGTAAGGTAAGGAGTGGGCAGAGGAATATGATTTTCACAGATTATCTGTCTTATTTACTGCTGTGTGAACATAGTGTTTTCAGTATTTATGATAAGTTAGTTTTTATGTAAAAGTTGCAAACTACAGCTTAAAGGAATTGTTCAGATTTTTTAAGTGCGGTTGTATGGGGTACTTATTCATAGAAAGTATACACTGATCCATAAAAACATTACAACCACTGTTGGGAGAAGTGACTACTATTGATCATCTTGTTACAATGCAATGCTCCCCTGGGGAACTTTTGGTCTTGAAATTCATCAGGATGCTACTTAATGCGCTCCACCCACCCAAACACCTCTGCAGATCAAGTATCACTCCTCATGGCAGCAGCCCCCCAGCAGGAAAATGCTCAGGAATGGCCCAAGGAATAAGAATAAAAACAAAAAGCATCAACCTAACCTCCAATTTCCACAGATCCAAATCTGATTGTGCATCTATGGGAAGTGCTGGTACCCCTAATCCACAGTGGGGCCTCCCTGGATCGGACTTGTCTCTGACATGTCACCTCTGGAGGGTGTCGGCTTCAGATCATTTCAGACCTGTCAGTTGTGAGGTGGGGTACCAGCACTTCCCAAGATGCTCAATCAGATTGGGGTGTGGGAGAGTTGGAGGCCAGTTTGATACTTTGAGCTTGTTGTCATGTTCCGCAGGCCATTCCTGAGGTGTTTTTGTGGTGTGGCATGGCACATTTTTCTGCTGGGGGGCAACTGCCATCAGGGAGTACCATTGCGGTGTTTGGGTGGGTGGAGGGCATCAGGTGGCATCCACATGAATGCCATGACCAAAGGTCTCCCAGCAGAACATTGCATTGTAACAAAATGATCAATGTTACTCACTTCACCCACCACTGGTTTTAATGTTTTGGCTGATCGATGTATTACAAACAGTAGATGTCAGTTGTCATGCCACCGGTTTGGAGAAGCAGGTTGGAGTCTGACATGGATGCTAAGAAATCTACTGCTGTGGAGGGTCAGCAACAAAACTTATTTTAGCCACCTAAAAAAAAAAACAATATGCATTTAAGTGTATGCTATACTGAGAGTATTTTCAGTGCTTAACCTGACTGTTACAGTGATTTCCAACTGGTAAATTAAGCTGTGATATTGCTCTGTTCATAGCCAGACTCTATTAAGAAAAACTGTGATTCAACATTGCTGAACACAGGAGCTGCTGCTGCCTTAGTTTGTTTGTTATGGTGTGACTTTCAGAAGAGTTAGTTTGTGTTTGGTGACTCTGAACTAACTAACTGATTGAAGCAGTGGTAGACCAGCAGCTCCTGTGTTTAGCAAGCTGAAATTACTGTTTTTCACAATGGAGTCTGGTGGCTTTGACAAGAGCTTAGACGGGCCCCATCGGAATGGGCTGTCTGCCGGGAAAGATAAAGGAGTGGAAATACAATCAAAATAGGTACTCAGGGCATGGCTTAGTGGCTAGAGCAGGCACCCTGTGTACAGAGGCTCTGCTGAGGCCCAGGTTCAATTCCAGCTTGCAGCACTCTGCTGCAAGTCATGTCTTCACACACCCCCCCCCCCCACTACACTGTCCTATCCATTAAAGGCAAAAATGCCCATAAAATAATTTTTGAACATATAGCATGCACTTAAAATGATATGGACTTTTTATAGGTGGCTAAAACATGTTCTATCGCTGACCCCTGACATCTACTATGTGCATTACACTGACAATGATTAAGTACCTCACACAACCCCACTTCAAAAAATCTGAACTATCCCCTTAAAACTGTGTGTTGTTACGTATTAGATTGTGTATGTGATACAACCAGTAGTGGGCTGTGGATTTACAACATACTCCTTCAATTAGGTCCCAGTAAAAGGAAAACATAAAACATCATTGTACAGGATTACTCATATACACAGGGTTCCCATGGTCATGGAAAATTTAGAGTCATTTTCCAGACCTGAAAATGTCGTGGAGTTAGTAAAATTATTTATCGCTTTTAAAATCGAGTCATTTAGTTGTGTATAACAAAATTAACAGTTACAGTAATCTTCTGTAGGACCATAGATATCTTTCCACATCCGCCTACATTCTTATGTTGCCACGTTGTTTTTCAAACTTGTATCCACAAAGGAATTTAATTAAATGCATTAAAAACACAGTCATAGTATAATCAGTCACACTGAAAGTCAGCCTGATATGCAGTATGCACTTTTATGACTGTGTCTGTAGTTTGAAGTATTTTAAGTAAATATGAACATTACAAACTATTACAGATTGGAAAAGGTTGATTAATTTTCATACAATAATTGGAGTAAAGTATACTATAGAGTTGGTCTCAGAATATTTTTTTTTTATGAGTCCTTTAAAAGGCATGGAAAAGTTTTGATATTTGTCAAAATGTGTGGGAACCCTGTACACAGATTTGTTGTCAGTGCCTGTTCTCTCTCATTTACCATGATTGATTTAAGATTAAATAAAAGTTTAGCAACTAAAATTGATCTGTATATTATCTGCAGAGAAAGCACTGGAGTCCTCCATAGCCCACCACTGGATGTACTAAGATCTTGACACATATCTTACCAAACAAGCTGAGTGAAATTTCTTCTTGCAGGTGCGGCAACCCTTCTTGGGCAGGGAGTAGTTGGAGCCATGGATAACAGAGAAGCAGATCATACAGTCCTCGATTCCCTCGAAGCGCTTATCCACATTGTTCTTCCACAGAGCCAGGCCCTCCATTATGCTGCCGTTCTGGACACAAAAACACATTCAGAGTTTTCTGAGTTGTTTCATCTTCTTTTTCTTATCTGATGCCTAAAAAGAAAGTTATCTTTACAGCCCCCTTGGCCAGCTTAAGAAAACTTCACTGGTCGGGATATAATCATGCTACAGGTCTTAAGGGTGAGGAACAAACACTACTTAATACACCAACTTCTTGCATTTATATCCATTGTGTGTTTGTGTATCTACCTGATGTGTGAGATAGGTGCTCAGTTGCAGCATCCAGTTCCTCCACTGCTGTACAGCAACTCCCACACGCTTCCCACTCTCTACAGTGATAGAGCCCAGAGGGTAGTTCTGTGGTAGCTGAATCACCAACTCGATGAAGATGTCATCCACAGAATAGGTAGCAATCACCTCCCGTGCTGCTGAGCGGGCCTTTACCTGGGGCAAAAAGATAACACTGTTTGCCTTTGCCATCTGGAGTCTTACAGTAAACAGTCCTTAAACTAGTAAAAGTTGTAGCTGCAGATGAACACAGAGCAGTGTATTTGCTAACTTACAGTCATGCTGTCAAACATTTGAGTGCTGGAGTGGACAGACGAGATCTCCTCGGCTGAGAGAACAGGGCTGACGTATTTAATGGTGAATTTCTCCGCAGCGGCGCTCACTCTCTTCTCTTGCCCGTTCCACCACAGCCGCACCATGGCAGGTAGGTCCTGCACTGTGCTGTAGTACACGCTGCAAGCCAGATGAGGGAGCTCCCACTTGACATTGTCATCGTCTGAAGAACGAGAAACAAAAGGTAAGGAAATCTTAGCTTGTTTACATTTCACAGTCATGTACAGATGTTGCGTATGTGCGTGTGCTACTTACTGTCAACAGCTAGACACTGGCTCTCTGTAAAGAAGGTTTTGGTTTCCTTTGTCTCTGCTCCCTGGCTTGGGTAGGTGGGGTTCTCAGGCATCAGTTTGAAGAGGTGCAAGAGGAGCTTGTTCAGTGAGCAGCTTCTCTTAAGATACTGGGCATAATGGGCTCGCAGCTAGAAATACATCAGAAGAACAGTCAATACTTTGACAACAGGTACGTTTCCATCCACCTGTTTTTAAGCACTTTTCTAATTTTTCTATTTACGCAAAAAACTCACAAAAATCTTAAAATATTGCAAAACATTTTTAAACTTAGCAGAGCTTGAAAAGTTGGTGTATCGATTGAGGGTAAATGCAGTAGAGTCATGACTTCCTGTAATTGCATAATAACTGCCAGGTCTCTTCATCACCTCTGGACTGCATTCAACACGCTTATGTAGGCTATGCTCCAAAGCACACTTTCTCTATGGAACTTATAAATCTGTTTGCTTACTTACACTCAAAAGTTAAACCCAGTTAAAAAAAAAAAGAAACAAACATATTGGAAGAAATATCTGATAATTTAACATGACTCACATGTGAGGGTGAAGATTTGAAGAAAGTGAGGAGCAGCTTCCAGGCCAGCAGGTACCCCAGGATGCAGGAGTACTCCACACTGAGAGGCTGGACCACTGCAAACTCTCCTACTTGAACCCCTGCCAGGATACTATCACACAGTTCCTCACAGGTCGACAGGATGGCCATCAGAGCAGCTGGAGGAGAACTGGACACAGAATTGAAACAGAACTGTTAGAATAATTACACATTAACATATAACACTTTTCTTTCATGCAGCACAATTACACACAAAAGCAATGCAAAGATGCAAATTTGTGTCCCTGAGAGGTGAAATGTTTCAACCTGGGCAGAAAAAAAAATCTGTGATGCTGTGTCGCAAATGCTTGTCAGTGTTAAGATTATTCTGATGTTACAAGAATCAGATTGGTAGGAAAAAGTTATTGTCTCTGTCTGTGGGCACCCAGAGCTCTACAACTCAACATCTTGGAGAAAAGTGAGCGAAGCCATTGAACCATGTTATAAGTTCTGAACATATGTATTTGTTAATTGATTCCAGCTATCAATGTACTTTTCTAAAAACCAAGTTAGCATTAGCGTTAGTTAGCACAGCTGGGATTTTGGCTGCAAAATTCACACAAGTAACTCAAGGGATAAATGTCCTCTACTTGGTCTCAACACACTTTTACAACTTACGTGACAATACCTAGAATCCACTTACTATCACATATGTATTAAACTTACAGTAATATGATTTTCTGTTTTTACTTACAGACATGGCTCATCTCCGTCATCATCAGACTTGTTGTTGTCTCCTTCTCCATCACACTCGGGCAGCTGAGGCATGACTCTGGATTGACAAAAAGCAAGTTCATTTTTCTTTTATATCTTGTGTTAAGCACGAGGAGATCATTCCCAACCTCCTGCAGGGCCCTGAATGTCTATGGATAGGTCTAACACTTAAATCATAACACAGTACTAGGGCAATTTTTCTGTTAAATTAAGAAAAATATATCTAAGTTTGCACACTCTGAAACAAAGTCCTTACTTTTCTAACAGGTGGTAAATGGTGATCTGCAGGGGCCTGGCCTTAAACAGCAGCAAAGGGCAGAGGGTGTTGAGGAGCGTCTGGAGGGGCTCTGGCAGGTTTGTCTTCTGGTCTGCTATGAACCGTGGTGGCAGCGAGTTCTGTTTTAGCTGCTGCACTGGCATATATGTCAGAGCCACACCAACTGACTGCAGTACCGCCATTGGAAACACAGGGTCGTCCGGTTCAGTGAAGGCATCTGCGGTCAGACAACAGACAGAAATTAGCTTTAAAATGACAAACAAATATATTCTTTATTGATCAACTACCACATCACCTGGTGATATGATAAATAAAAAGCAGCTATTACAGAGTCCCAACAGTAATGTTTGGTGCTACATGTTAAAAAATATACTGGCCAAACAAAATTTCTATGGGCCCTAATTAAACTTGCACACACTGTATATATCAAGTCTTAGCTATTTAGCTTGAAAATCCTTTTCTGGAATTTGCTGGTGTGAGCTAGGAACATAACCTGTTTTTAGAAATGTAGCTATTCGACGGTATAAATGTGGGACTTAGTTAGAACTCTTTCTTTGAAATGCTTGAATCTGTGTGTCATTAGAGATGTCCTGAACTCAAATATATCATTGATTGTCACAAATTATGGAGCGAGATGTTTTTATAGCACCTCAATGTATTAGGAAATGTAACAAATGTTGGACTTTTATACAATAAAAATACTTGATTTTTAGTCTGTATATAGTCTGAGTTGTCTTTGTTGACATTTATTTATTATCACGACTTTTTCCAGCAACCTAAAATCAAAGAATAAAGTAATTTCTCTCACAATGTAGATGGATTTCCTAATTTATAAGGGACACAGGTATAACGTTTTGTACTTGTGTGCATGTAATCCTATGAATCTTATTTCCATTTATGTATTTCGTATATACTCTGTGTTAACACCTTATTTTTTAAAATTGTACATAGTCCCATCTGTATAATGGGCTATTTAAATGCATTCACCATAAAAGGTCAAAATATAGGGGGCACTCCATTATAAGTGGCGGCTGGTTTGACCACAGATGCGAGATTTTGACAGAGATGCGAGTGACTAGCTTGATGCAGAAGCAGCAGATGCTGCCTCAGGACAATCCGAGAAGCACATGAGGACAGGATTTGACCTAGCCTGGCTGACAGAGGAAAAGACTGCAGTCAAGCTAGTGTCACTCACATCTTTGTGATCAAACTAGCCACTGCCACAGCTGGAGACAGACACAGGCAGAGCAAAGTCTGAGTGAGTAGAGCAGACATGGTAACATTGCTCCCAAAGCAATGTCTGAAAAAATATTTGAATAGAATGATTTTTTTATTTTTTCAAGCACTGGCCTGATTTTGCAACTGGCTGGCTGTATTTACTAGCCCCAGACTATCCCTATTGTTAGACCCTAAAGTTTTGGTGCTTTACTTTTCAGAGTAGGCTTGCTTCCCTGAGACTGTGTCATAACCTCCTCAAATAAAATCCACACACGCACCTGTGATATTGACAGGCAGAGGAAACAGCAGGTTGTAGATTCCTTCCACGAAAAAGTCTCTCCATTCACCAGTCAGTTCAGGCGGCAGCTTCTCCAGCACTTCAGATGAAGGTGATATGAAGAACTGGTTCAGCTTCACTATCAATGCAGCGTTCTCACACACAAACAGCTGCACCCATGGGTTCCACAGACTGCTCACCTTCTCACTGGCCGTCTAAAATTGGAAGCATGCAAAAACACTTAAGGATGGTGCAAAACAACAGATGCAAGCAAAGTAGCAAAGAGAGTACTCTAACATTTCAAATACCTCAGGTCAAGAGATCACCCCATGACAGGAAACATCGACCCTGCAGCACTATTCACAACCTCACAGTCACAAAACAATTTATGTCTCACCTCCAACCAGGCTAACATAGAGCAGAGCAAGAAGTCCCACTGGCTGCCCCCGAGAACTGTCGGACAGTGAGTCACCAGCCAGGAGAGGAAACGGATCATCTCCACAGCAAGGTTCAGCTGTCCTGCAGAGGCTTTGGACAGGTCACTGAAATACCAAGATGTAACAAATGTAGATATATCAGTTGAAAATGGCGAATCTTGTACAGTGTTTCAAGAGATATAATAAATATATAAACTGTGTAAATGTTTGCATGGTGTCTGTGATGACATTACCTGCTAAAGAGGAACCAGTCCTCCTTGCTGTTCCTCCACTCCATCATGGTGGCCAGAATAGCCTGCACAACCTCATCCTCTACTTGTGTGTTGGCATTTAGACAGCACACCAACACTGCCAGACACCCATACACATCTGTCAGAGACATCCCATCATTATTATTATTTGCTTGGTTCAAGTCCAAAATGTCCATGTATGCAGTTGTGTTAATGTGTGTATTATCACCGTCATTCTCCTGCCAGTTGATTATTCCAGCAGTTGCAAGAGCAACGAGAGTCTCTCTGTCTTCTTTGGTCATGGTGGGGCAGAGCACCTG